CCTCAAAAAAATAGAAATAAGTCTACCTCAAGATCCAGCTGAAGCACTCTTGGGCCCATACCCAAAGGATGCTTCATCCTACCACAGAGACAGTTTCTCAACCATTGCTGCTCTATTCATAACAGTCAGAAAGTAAAACAATCTAGATGTCAGTCAATGGATGAATGGATAAAGAAAATATGATATGTTTACAAAATGGAATATTTCTCAATCATTAACAAAAACTAAACCATTAATTTCATAGGTAAATTGATGGAATGAGAAAAAGTTATCCTGAGGAAGGTAACCCAGGCCCAGAAAGACAAATATGGTATATATTTGCTTATATGAGTATGTTAGTTGTTTAAGTCAAAAATAAGCAAGCTACAATCCACAAAATCACAGAGGTTAGGTATAGAGGAAGATACTGAGGGAAGGGACAGGTATCCCTAGGGAAAGCAAATAGAGATAACTCTGGATGGATGTTGGGGACACTGGAGCAAGAGGATCAAACAAGAAGGGAGGAAGATGAGGAGGGTAACAAGAGAAGGGAAAGCTAAAATTAAGTGCCATTTGAAGGGTGATATGGAAACTTAAAACACTAGAAGCTTCCTATAATATATACACATTTTAGGTGCTCTAAATGAAATTGCCAAATAACAGGGGAGACAGAGCTCCAACTGTACACCTCTCATCACCAAATGAAGCTTCAGTACCAGGAATGGATTACATCTAACCGAGTTATTGGACAAAGGGGTCCCATAGGAACCTCCAAACAACACAGGCTATTTCAAAGGTTGCTCTCAATAAACTGCTAGTGTTGGGGGAGGTTGCTAGTTTGTTTCCCGACTACCCTGACTAGAAATAATCGCTCAGAAACCATATTATTTGCAATACTGTTTGGCCAATAGCTTAAGCACATTTCTAACTAGCTCTTTTTTCCTAAACTAACCCATTTTTATTAATCTGTGTATTGCCATGTGGCTGTGGATTACCTGCAAGATTCTCATGTATCTGTCTTGGTGGCAGGCTACATGTTTCTCGCTGACTCCGCCTACTCTCTCTATATATCTCTTTCAGCCTGGCTTTACTCTGTTAAGCCATTGGCTGAAAGCAGCTTCCTTATTAAGCAATGGCAATAAAACAAATCACAGCATGCATCACCTCCCACGTCATGACAGTAAGGCCCTACCATTGAAAATAACATTGACACAGCTCATCAGACACAAAGAAGTTGAGTCAGTGCCTACATAAAGCCCTCACCCCTCCTGGCTAGTGTTTTTAGTTCCAGCAGGCATTCTACCAAAGGAGAAATGTAAGCACCAACCCTGCTACAAATCCTTCAGTCTACAATAGTGCCCTGCATGCAAGATACACTAGTGCAATGGTGGAATAAAACTTGTAGGAGTAACCAATCAATATCTTAAATCTTCGATTTAAGGCCTACTCCATGAGATGGAACCCATACCCAATGCTGCTTAGGTGACCAAGAACCTCAGACTAGATATCCCAGAGACCTAGGGGAAACCCAATACTATTGTTTTACGAAAGAAACATAGAAATAAAAGGACTCCTAATGACATTCTGAGTCAGAATAGTGTCTGACTCGGCCATCATTAGAGAAGTTTCTTCCTGCAAGCAGATGGGAAGAAATGTAGAGACCCACAGCCAGGCAATACACAGAGAGTGAGACCTTGGAACACTCAGCCCTACATGGATGTCTCCATCAAATCCCTCCTCTCAGGACTCAGGGAACCCTGGTGAAGAGCCAGAGGAGATAGAAGACACTAAGAAAATAAGGTCTACAAAACACAGGACAGATGTACATAGGAACTCACAGAGACTGAGGCAGCACGCACAGGGCCTGTACTGGTCTATACCAGATAGGGTGTTAGAGCTGAAAGAAGTGGACTACACACGCTCCTAATGGCAGGCTGCATGCCCAGCCGAAGATAGACAACAGAAAAACAAACTCAACAACATCCTTGGAGGCTCCTTATCTCATAGTTTCTTGTCAGGGTTGTCTTGTTTGATTATTTAAATTTGTTTTTACTTTTATTTCATTTATTTATTTATTTACTTTATAACCCTTCTTCTTTGCATATGCATTATGGTTTCCAGTTTTATATTTTCTGTGGGATTCCTGAATGTTTCTTGTACCTTGGCTCATGAGGGGCAGGGGTTGAAAGAGGTTGTCTTTTCCTTCTGTTTGTTTTGTTCTATTTCAATGTATTTGCTTTAGCTTTATCTCATTACATTTTGTTATCATCCCTTAGATTTTTGTTTGCTTTCTAATAAAAAACAGAAAGAGGGTGGATTCAGATGGGAAGGGAAGTGGGGAGGAACTGGGAGGAGTCGAGGGAGGAAAATTGTAATGAGAATATACTGCATGAAAAAAAAAACCTATTTCAATTTCTGGGAAAGGAAGACAATAGCGAGGAAATAAACAAACTGATAGAAATATAAGTCTATAGATAACTAAACCATTTACATAAGTTATAACAGAATAAACCCTCTAAAGACCCAATATATACTGTATAACTGGTGCTTCAAATCAATGCAGAATTAGGGTTTTTTTTTCTGATTGTACTGCGTAGCCTGCTAGGGAAAAAAATCAAAAATCAAAGCTTTACCTCATAAACTACATTAAATTCTAGAGAGGCAAAGATTTAAACATGATAAACTTTAGCAAAGAGACATACATTAAGTTCAAAGATACACACAGGTTTAAAGATAAAATATTAAAAGAAAATATGATCATTCTAACAGTAACCAAAGCAGCAAAAAATAGTGGTACAGATACCAGGCAAAATATTTTACATTAAGAGAAAGGAATAGAGGTATAGTTCAGGGGTAGAGCAATTGTCCAGCACATACAAGGTCCTGGCTTGACCCCAGCACTGAACAAAAAGTGATACAGAGAAAGAAGGGCTTTTAGAGTGAAAGGAACAACTCCTTAGGAAGCTAAGATTATAACATCCAATACCAAATACATGAAGGAACAGCTGGCAGGATTAAAGGGAGAGACAATCCACCAATAATGACCACTCAATGCTCCACTTTCAGTAGCTGATCATAAGGAAACAGACTAACACTATAAACCAACTAGACACAGCAGGTATCTATTAGGACATCCCTCCCAACAATAGAACTCTGTGGGAAATGCTCTGTCAATTCCTCAAAATATTTAAGAATATTTTATATGTATAGGCATTGTGAGGCCATAAAATACTCTAATATTTCATATTATTAATGGTTCCACAGCTCTGTGAATATATTAAAATCCACTCAATCTTTTCTTCCAAAGGGAAAATTTATGTTATGGAAATTATAGCTCCATTCAAGCTGTTATAAAAATAAACAGATGGAGACAATATGACAGTCCTCACATTTGTTAGGGCTGGTGGAATATGACTGTTACTTTATTGTTAAACATTAATGTTTAGATTATAGTCAAAGTAAAGGGATGCTGAGACAACATGGAAGGAACACGCTACCTCCTTATTCTCTGTAGTACAGATTAATGGTGTTCAATAAAACATTCCCCATGCTCCCTTAAGCTTCTCCTTGATGAGTGTATTGATCTCATGTGACTAGTTAAGGCCAATGAACTGTGAAAGTGATTTCTGGCACTTCTAGAAGGCCAAGGCGATCCAAAGCTGTTTATGGTTCCTTAGCCTTCCTTTCCCTGACAAGAAGGCTTTAGAAACCAAAGAGAAAGATGGCTATAGTACTGGACAGAGGGAGTGAGGCACCAAACGAAAAAAACAATACTAATTACCCTAATTAGATAGAATGTGTTGGCATAGAACTATCAAGAATAGCCAGTGGGCTGGCTTGTTGGCACACACCTACACTCTCAGCACACTCACTGTGGAGGAAGGGCATGGTCAGATTTAAGATCAGCTTGGGCTACACAAGAATTCAAGGCCTGCCTGAGCTAGCTAGCATGTTCCTGTCTAAAGAAAACCTAAAGGCTGACGATTTCCTCATCCAGCATGTGCTAGATTCTGGCTTTCAAACCTGAGCATGGGGTAGGGGTAAAAAAAACTGGGGAAAAAATTTCAAAATAACGTTTAAGATCCTAGAATGGGGTAATGATTTGTAAGTACAAATCAGTAGAAGTCATAGCTAAGAAAAAGTGGGTAGCAACAAAGTGAAGAAAGCTATAACCTACAAAAAAGAAACGAGGAGGGAAACATCTGGAATAGATGTGCCCAACACTTAAGGTCTATTCTACCTTAAATCACCACAAAAAAAAAAGGCATAGAATCTACTTAAAACCTAGCCAACAGTTATTTATTCTACACTATGTATAGGCCCTGTGCGAATCCCACTCATCCTCACCATGACCATGCAAGTGACATCATGTTTCTTTGTAAAGGGGGCAGGTGGCGGAGGGTTGGAGTGAAAGAGACATCTGGACAACTGCTACAACCATGAGTTCGCGGCAACCGTGACGCGACAGTCCAGCACCTGAGCCGCCACCCTTAGCTGGGGGACTACTGACAGAGCGGAGAGCAAACGTCCATTTTCTTTAGGATCTGGACCCTGGTTGGGTGACCACGCTCTAGTGGATGGTCCCACACCCATGCACTAATAGGAAACAGTGGTTAATAGATAAACAAAACAAAACAAAGGACATGAAGCTGGGAGGGAAACATAATGAGGAGAGCTGGGGAAAGCTGGAGGGAAAACAGGGATAAGCATGATCAAAGGACATTTATATGCATGTCCTAGTTAGGGTTTCTAGTGCAATGGAACACCAGGACCAAAGCAAGTTCATCACTGAAGGAAGCTAGAACAGGGATCTGGAGGCAGCAGCTGATACAGAGGCCAGGGAGAGGTGCTGCTCATTGGTTTGTTCATCATGAATTGCTCAACCTGCTTTCTTATAGAATTACTCAGGCTATCAAGAGACTTGATGCCCACCACAGACCTGAAACTATTTAGTAATGGAATGATAAAATCACAACTCCCTTGAGCCAGTTTTCTTACAAATTAGGAATATCATGTCTCACCTTCACCACAGATCCAAACGGGGTACACCTGAGTGTCACTTCCGTGGAGACACAGCAATTCAAGATGCTGCAGAGAGGCCCATGATTTGATAGGAGGCTGTGTCCCACTGCAGGAGGAGCAGAGTCTGCATGTCTGACTAACATCCTGACACTAGCTAGAATCTCGCTTTCTCATAATAGTCAATAATACACCACAAAGACCATTTATTTTAGCAAAGACTCCCAATAGCTTCATATTTGCTGTAAACTCAACCTCACAGTTGTGCAAAACTAAGCTAATTATGCCCAGAGGCTTCCAGGACAACTGTCTCTTCCAAGTGGCTCCACTAAAAAGCTGTTTTGTTTAGGACATCTACAGCCTATTTTCTTCCTCTCAAAAATGAAAATCTTTGTGGGGGATGACTCAGCAGGCAAAGTGCTTACCACACAATGGTGGGGATCCAAGTTTGGATCCCTGGAACCTCTGAAAGTTGAGTGAGTGTGTTAGCCCTCCTGTGGTCCTCAGCACACTGGGAGGTGGACATGGGATCCTCAGGAAGCTGGCTGGTTAGACAAATCAGCAAGCCCTCGCACCAGGAAGACACCTCGCCTTAATATATGAAGTGGAGAGAGATGGAGGAGATCCAGAGTCAACCCCTTGCCTCCACATGCATACATACACAGCTGTACACACATACGCCAACAGAAACAGAATCAAAGCTGGCTGGAGGTGGTGCAAGCCTTTAATCCCAGCACTTGGGAGGCTGAGGCTGGTAGATCTCTGAGTTCGAGGTCCTTCTGGTCTCCTAAACTAGTTCCAGGACAACCAGGGCTACACAGAGAAACCTTGTCTTGAAAAATCAAAACAAAACAAACAAGAAGAAACAAACATATGTGAGTACACCCCAGACACATGCCAATTTAATCTCTGTATGTATTTATCACCTTTTGTTCCTGTGACCAAAAATAAAACAAAACTAAAACACAAGACAACAAAAAAAAACTTGAGTAAAGCGATAGAGAAGATGATGATTTTTCTCACACAGTTTCAGTTTCTGTGTGAAGCAGAGAGCAGAGCACAGCAACGTGTGACAGAGGAAAAGGAGGAAGAGGCCAAGGACAAGGTTCATCTCAACCCCCTCCCTCTCTAGTTAGGCCCTACATCTCACAGCCTCCACTCCTCCCACCCAGCCAGTCAGGATCCAGTCACTTCCCCCAAAGACCCATTACTGACAGTCAGGCCTTCTGGAGACAGCACATTTCAGATTCAAATCATAACATAAAACTTTAATGTCAATTAACCTGACGACCCGTCAGTAGCAAGTCACACTTTGAGCAGAAATGGGCAGAAATTCATGACTTCAGGGAGAGGTCCAAAGCACACCAAACTCCCCTAACATGGGGTGGGGGGGGAGGATGAGGGCGGGGTCTAATGGCTTGGGGAAAACCCTGAAACTGGGAGGTTCCAACAAGGAAAGAAAAGCACAGAACACTGTTCACACTCCAGCAATATCCCAAGCAGACAGAACAGTATTGCTGCACTCAAAATGCAGAGAAATGAATAGGGCTTGGAAAGCCCCTGTGGGCTGGAGATGTGCTCAACTGGCAGAGTGTTTGCCTAGCATGTTGGGAGTCCTGAACCCTTATCCTCAACCAGGTGTCGTACCGCATGCCTGTAATACCAACACTCACGAAGCCAGAGGATCTGAAACTCAAAGTCATTCTCAGCTGCCTATTGAGTTTGACACCCGTGTTCCACAAACACATAACAGTGTGGACTCCCCATGTCTGGGTGGGTCCTTCCCTGCTCATCTGATAAAGTACAAGGAGGGAAAACTAGACGTTCTTTGGTCCCCAATAACTTTTTCAAGTTGTCCCATAAAGCAATGATAGGCACCCTTTCCAGAAGGATCAAGATCATCTATGATGATTCGTGGGGATTAGTAGGAAAAGGTACAAAGCAGAACTCATGCCATATACTCCCAAATCAGTAACTGAGATGGATACCAGAAAGACAACCCCCGCCAACTCTCTTTGGTTTTCTGAAATAGGGTTTCTCTGTGTACCGGTCCTGGCTGTCCTGTGTGGTGAGCCCACAAGTATTATACAGCCAGTGTACAGTTCACCGACCAATAGGCAGATCCACGAGATGTGCATATGTACACATTCACATGGAGAACCCGTTCAGTGGAGCTGCAGGAACACTTGTCTTTTGGATAAGTCACTGTCAATTCTATAGAAATCTTGTGAAATCATGACATTTCTCCCTTCTATAAATAATATCTCAGCAGTGTAAGCCTGACTTTTTCTGTAGGGTGACCGGATACCTTTCCCCACACCATGAGGCCTGGTGTGAAAGCATTCACTCAGTCAAATCTTTATTCTCATAGCCAAAATCTACATAAATCTAGTCCCCCCACAACTTTCTTTATTGACAGGACTCAAACAGCAGACTCAGGAAGGTCTAATCTACTGGTCTTCTGCTCTGACTTAACAAACTGCTAATATTATGTGTTTACCCTTAGTTTCAATTAGCATAGGATCATAGCCCAGGAAATGAACTGTTTATACAGGAAAAAGGCCTGAGTCACTAAAACTAGTTTCAGAGAGAAAAATTCTCACTTGGGCACCCTGCTGGAGTCAAAAGCAAAGTCCCCAATAGAGATTCCTTTTAATTCAATCAGTTAGACGCTAATGCAAATCAAGCCCTCAAGTTGCTATGGCTACCAAAGCTGTGTTTCCATCTGCCAGGGAGCTTCACAGCCACGCCTCTCTGAAACGTAAGGCGCCTCCTTGCGGTTTTTTTTTTCTTGTGATTCTGTGAAATGTGTCTGATATTATCGTGTCTATGGGATTGCTAACTTGTCTGCATGCCTATATAACCTGAAAGCTTTGTGGAGAACGGCCCTTCTTTTTTCCTTCCCTTTCCCATTTTTCTTCATCGCCCAAGGAATAACGAAACATACAGGAAGAACGTCAGTAGGTTTGTTCTACTCCTCAGATCCCTTTCCCCAACCAGTTTTCGTCTGCCATAGAGAATCTTAGCTGGACCCCGAGGGGTAGCTGAGGCTGGTACTCAAGGCCCTGGAACTTGCTTTGTAGACCACGCTGGTCTTGAACTCACAGAGATCCTCCTGCTGTTGCATCCCAAGTGCTGCAATTAAAGTCGTGGGCCCAGCTAAAAGACAACTTCTTAAGAAAGAGAAGCTGGGTTTGGGGTTCACACATGTAAACAGGAGTCTGGGTTCTTTTCCAAATCAATCAATAAAAGGCAACCTCAATGATACCCAAAGGTTTCTTGACTCTAAGTCTATTTTGGGGAGTGAGTATATTTCTTTGCAACAAGAAAAGTTTAGAACTAGTCACAGGGAAATGTTAAGCACCATGGAAGCTTCTCAGCATTTTTTCCTGTGGAGATCACCAATCCCCTATACCACTCTTTCTTCCCTACCCTGGCAACCAGAATATGATGACACAGATCACCCAGGTCTCAACAAGAGCTTGCTGTTACTCTGTTGAGAAGGAATGCAGGACCAACAACTTTCAACTTTTTTGTTGTTGTTGTTGTTTGATGCAGGGTCTCTTTGTAGCTTTGGTGCCTGTCCTGGACAGGCATGGACAAAGCGTGGACAGTTTACTGAGGGCGGAGGGTCGGGGGGGTGGACCGATGCTCCTCCACATCTCAGGAAAATAGGTGTCCCAGGTCCAGAGAAACTGGGACCACCCTGAATGTCCCAGAGCCAGGGCAGGACTGTGATGGATTAAGGACTCCTGCAACCCTGAACAGGGAGGCGACCAGAGAGGAGGGGTCTTGAGGTCTCAGATACCCCACTGAGCTGTCAGTCACATCCCAGCTGAGGGGATGAGGGATGGGGCCTTCCCAGCAGGTGGAGATATGGATCCAGCACCTAGCTCCACTTAGGGACAGACACCTGTGGTAGTCAAGACAGATTTTAGCTTTGTTTTGTTTTGATACAGGATCTCAATGCAGTATAGCCCAGGCTGCTCTAGAATCCACTATGTAGCAGCACTGAACTCATGGCATGCCTCCTGCCTTAGCTTCCTTGGTGCTGGAATAGCTGATACCTGGCTTGAACTTGGTTCTTAATCAAATGTCAAGCTACTGTTCCATAGGAAAACAGGTGAGTTTATTTTTTTTATAATCAAAGATATTAAAACAGCAATAGTATGTTCATGGTTCATGTAGGACTGTGTGTGTGTGTGTGTGTGTGTACGTGCATGCGTGCATGCGCACATGCATATGTGCATATGTGTCCATGTATGTGCCAGAGGAGTTCATTGAGTCTGATAGGCTGGCTGGCCAGCAAGCCTCAGTGACCTCCTGTCTCCATGCTTCTCCCCCAGTGCTGGGTTACAGAAGACTTGAGTACTAGGGATCCGAACACAGGTCTTTGTATTAGCATACTGACTGTCAAGAAGCCATCTCCTCAAGCCCTGTTCAGTTTTTTGAACACTCAGCAGTTACTAAACACAAGCCAGCTTTTCACCACTGTGCTAAGGTAGGTGAGATAAGCAACTTATGGGGTAGATTTGTTGGCTCACCTTTTTGGAAGTTTCAGACTACGGTTGGTTGGTATTATTGTTTGGGGGTCTATGGTAAGACAGCATCACATTGAGGCATTTGCAGTGAAGACAGATGTTCATTTCACAGCAACCAGGAAGCAAATGACAGAGGGCCCAGTATGTACTTACAGACATGTCCCAAGTGACCTCAATTCCTTATATTAAATTCTGATTCCTAAAGGTTACATACCACTCAAGAGTGCCATTAACTGGAGATCAAGCTTTCAACCCAAAAGCCTCTGGGACACATTTAAGATCAATCCTTGCTCTCCTTTACGTTGCAGTTGGGAATTTAATCAATTACTAAATGACAAACTTGTCCATACCCACTTTTCCTCTCTCAAGCCAGTCTAAAAGCCTCTTTCACATAGTAAGCCCCCTCACATAATACACATCACAGAGCACGCAGTTCATTTCACTGATTGCTATGCGTTTACCACACAAACATGGCAATGTTAGAGGACAGCTTTGTAGAGTCGGTTCTCCTTCCACCTTTCTGTGCTGTGAGGCTCCAACCCAGGCTTTCATAGCACAAAGGGCCATCTCGCCAGCACAACACACACACCTTATTACCAACCCAGCAGCAGCTAGTCCTTCAAGACTCCCAGATGTAGGCTGTGGGGACAGCCAGTGATAGAGTGCTTGCCAAGCAGGAGAACTGGGGTTCCAACCCCAGCACTGTTTTACCAAGTAACTGATTGATTTAAGTTTCTAACTCCTTAAATAAAGGAGTCAAAACTGGATTTTTA